ACATTCCCAAACCCTATCCATGTACTAACCATTTCAAACTCACAACCGTCCTATGTGGTAGGTCCAATTTACAGATGAGGAAACTGAGACCACCAAACAGAAATAACTTCCCAAGGCCACCCAATGGTAAGACACACGCTCATTCACAAAGGATGCAAAACATTTTCTCTCCTCCCATGGGTTGCCTCTTCACTGGTGATTATGTATTTCCTGGTGACTTTTCTGCTTCATGGGGACATGGACCAGTACTGTTTTATTCGCCCAGTTCTAAGCCTGTCAAATGGAGTTCTGTATGTTGTTCAATGAGTGAATGCATGCTGCTGTTATGCCGAGCCTACAAAGCTATTTCCCTGCTGTAAGGACAGGCAGAGGCCATGGGGATGACCATACCAGGGCCAGTTTCTGTCCAAGAGGCAGCTGAGAACTGTGTCCTTCCAGTGCTGAGTCTAGCATCATCTAGCCTTCAGCATTTTAACTTATTCACTGGGAGGTTTGTGTTTTCTTCTAAATCTCCTTTTTTCTACTTCAAGCCCAAGCAGTTAGTCACTCACTGAGTTCTGTCCACAGAGGAGAGAGATCCGTCTCCCAGCTTCATCAGCTAAGTGTCCTGGGACAGCTGACCAGAAGGCTGGGCTATAGATCTAATTTAATTTACTCTCTTTCACTCTGATTTTTCCCTTATAGTTTCTCCTCCAACCCACAGACTAACATATTTTCCTGAACTCTTTTAATTCTTCTCCACATCATGCTCCATTCTTCCTCCTAACTTTCTTTTCCTTTTTCAGTCATTATTTCCTTAATCATTTTAGTTTAATACAGCTGTTTTAAAGTCTTCAAATTGTTCCATTATCTCAAATTTTGGAGACTGAAATCTTCCCATTTGTGTTACATGCTGTTACTCTTGGTAGCTTTGTATCTCCCTGTGTCTTTTAATTTTTGATTGTGAGCTAAAGTCGGGGATTTTTCCCCTCTTCATGCTGGTCGAAGTGGCCTAGGTATTGAAATTTCCTATCAGTTACCTTTGTCTCTACCGAGACTATCTACCCACCACTATTTGATTTATCCCATCGTGGACCAATTCAATAATTTCCAAGTTTCAAGAGTTTCTCAGTGCTCACTTTTAGAATATGCATAGCATCAAATTTACTATAGTTACTATTTTTATGTATATACTTCAAAGGCAGTAAATACATCCACATTTTAGAGTTGTATAAATCATCACCACCATCCATTTCCAGAAGTTTTCCATCTGTCCAAATTGAAACACTGTACTCATTAAAAATGACCAATTTCCCTTTCCTCTAGCCCCTGGAAACTATGATCTACTTCCTGCCTCTATGCATTTGATAGTATAAGTGGAATTATACACTCATATAACATTTGTCCTTTTGTGTCTGGTTTATTTCATTTAACAGTTCCTGTTGTGGCATTGCCAGGATTTCCTTCCTTTTTAAAGGTGAAGTAATATTCTGTTGTATGTATGTATCATATTTCTTATCCACTCATTCATTGACAAACATTGGATAGTTTCAAACTTTTGGCCATAGCAGCTCATAGGACTGTTATGTATATTAACATACAAATGTCTGCTTAAATCACTAAATTAAATTATCTGGTGTATGTATTCAGAAGTGGAATTGCTAGATCATAATTCTATTACATTTTTTGAGGAACCACCATACCATGTTCTATAGCAGCTGGACCATTTTACATTCCTGAAATATTGCACAAAGTTTCCAATTTTACTATGCCCTTGCCAACACCTGCTATTTTCGGGTTTATTTTGGGGGGTTGCTTTTATTTTGTCTTTATAGTAGTTATCCTAAAGGTGTGAAATGATAAATATCTCATAGTGCTTTGATTTGCATTGCATTCCTTTAGTGACTAGCTACATGGAGCATTTTTTCATGTGCTTTTTGGCCACTTGTGTATCTTCTTTTTTTTTTTTTTTTAAGATTTATTTGTGCATACAGAACTGGGGTACAGGCAGACTCTCAGGGGCGGTGAGAGGCTTCACCAGAGACAGAGTGGGGAACAGAACAGGCAGATCGACGAAATACACTGCTGAGGGGAGCAGCGGGGTGGGGGGGTCAGGAGAGGTCTGCCACGCCATGCGTTCATCTCGGGGCAGGCGGGAATCGAACTCAGGCGGAAGCAGCTTTAGCTTCTTAGTGCTGTGCCACCGCTGTGCCACCAGGTAGGGCCATTTTTTAAAAAGATTCATTTATTTGTGCATACAGAACTGGGGTGCAGGCCAAAGGCTCAGGGGTGATAAGAGGCTTCACCAGAGACAGAGTGGGGAACAGAACAGGCAGATCGACGAAATACACTGCTGAGGGGAGCAGTGGGCGGGTCAGGAGAGGTCTGCCGCGCCATGTGGTCATCTCCAGGGCAGGCGGGAATCGAGCTCATGCGGAAGTGGCTTTAGCTTCTAAGTGCTGTGCTCCAACCCGCTGCGCCACCAGGGAGGGCACACTTGTGTATCTTTGGAGAAATGTCTAATCAAGTCCTTTGCCTGTTTTTAATAAGGTTCTTTGGGGGTTGAGTTGTAGGAGTTCTTTACATATTCTGGAAATTAATCCCTCATCAGATATATAATTTGAAAATATATCCCTCCCTCTATTTCATGAGTTGTTTTCTTCACTCATGATTATATCCTCTGAGACAGAAAAGATTTAATGTTAATTCAATTTTTTTCTGTGTTTTCTTTTGTTGCTTATGCTTTTGGTATCATACCTAATGCATGTTTTCCAAATTCATTGTCATGAAATACACTCCCCCCTTATGTTTTCCCCTAAGGATCTTGTAGTTTTATCTCATATGTCTTTGATCCACTTTGAGTTAATTTTTGGATATCATCTAGAGGTCCAACTTTATTCTTTCAGCTTCACTATTTTGTTGAAAAAAATGCCCCTCCCCCATTAAATGGCTTTCACATACTTGCCACAAACAATTGAATTATATATACAAGAGTTTATTTCTGTGCTGTGTATATGAGTCCATTTTCTGTCTTTATTGTATTATCACACTTTTTTGATTACTATAGCTTTGTAGTAGTTTTGAAATCAGGAAGTATGAGATCTCTACTTTGCATTTTCCAAGATCATTTTGGTTATTTGGGGCCTTCTGAGATTTCATGTGAGATTTTGGAATTGATTTTTTAATTTTTGCAAATATCATCATTGGGATTTTGAAAGAATCTGTAAATTACTCCAGAGAGTATTAAGACATATGATTCATGAACATAGAATGTTTTTCCATTTGTTCTAAATGACTTCTTTAATTTTGTAGTGTTCAATATACAAATGTTTCACCTCCTTGATTAAATTTACACTTAAGTATTTTATTCTTCTTGCTATTTAAATGTAATTGCTTTTTTAATTTCCTTTTGGGTTGCTCATTATTAGTATATAAGATATACTTGTGTTTTTGTGTGTTGACTTTGAATCCTGCAATGTTGTTGTTATTTAATTAGTTCTCATGGGGGTTTTGATACTGTTACAAGTTTGGTTTCATTGTGTATGTGTATAATTCATCTGTTAATTCATCTGTTGTTTTTTATTTTTGTTTTTGTCTTTTTAACCCAGAGACCTGACCAGGAACAGGTTTATGGCCAATATTCAAAAAACAGTAAGTTTTTTCTAAGTTCCCATTCATTGAGTGCAAATGTCAAGGATCTCAGCTAAACTCAAAAGTCCTGGGTTTTTTAAAAGATTTTATTTATTTATGTATGTATGTATATAAGAGCTGGGGTGTAGGCCAGAGGCAGAGGACAGGCAAGCGGATTCACCAGAGACACCATAGGGAGCAGAACAGGCAGATTGACTGAAATACACGGCTGAGGGGAGCTGTGGGCATGCTAGGAGAGGTCTGCTGGGTTATGTAGCTCCCTGGCTGGGGATCAAACTCATGCCTCAGTAGCTGCCAATAGCTTCATAGTGATAAGACTTAGACCATGGAACCACCAGGGAGAGAAGCCCAAGAGTCTTGACTTGAATTTCCTGCTTTGTGAAGGCTAAGCCCTCAGTCTCTGCGCCTGCTTGTCACTACAACATACTTGACCATTGGGATTATTTCCATTTGCTCTTTTCTGCTCACTCTTTCTTCCCTCTACCCCAACACTCTCATATTCAGAGCAGAAAGGGTCCCAGTGTCCTACTTCCAAATGAGCAAGCACATGCATTCACAAGAGGCCACAAGGAAGGCAGTTTTATCCACCATGGAAAGCCCTATTTTAGGATATAGCTAAAGGAGGAAAAGAGGAAGTACTTGGGTCCCTTCTCCATTAAGCAGGAGTCCTACCTTCGCATGGAACTGTGAGCCGACCAAGGCCGTGCCATTTAGGTAGTTATATCTACTGTCACTGTCCTATGTGTCAGATACTATACTGGGTGCTTCATATACATTTAATCTCATTTATCCTCCTTCCAATTTGATGAGATAGGGGCTGTATTTGCCATTGGTTCAACTGAGAAATCTGCCAAAAACATAGCTAGCAAAAGGATGAGAATTCAGACTTAGGTTGGGCTCAACCTTTACCAAATATACCTTGCTTGCTTCCTTCCTTCCACACATCACCTGTAGCTTGCTCCGTCCCCTGAGGGTAGGATTCTCGTGGTTTCCTTCTTTCCTCTTACTTGTCCTCAGCACCCAATAAGTGGGATTAGGGTGCAACCAGTCACGGCTCTGCAGAAGTTACAGCGACTTTGCCCCTAGAGGACCTGTCCACAACTCAGGAGGGACTGCAGAACTCTTAGCCTGAGCCCGTTACCGAGATAAAGGAGGTTTTTGCCAAAGACTCTGAAGGGAGATAAATCTTGGGAGTGGATCAACTCTGGTCGGGACCCAGGCACCCAGCCCTTCCCTGAGACATTGTGTGAGCCAGCCAGGCCTCCAGACACAGCTCCTCCCACCCGCCCCAGGCAGGGTGGTGCTTGTGTGGGAAGGACTTTTAAATCCAGCTGCCAGACCCCTGGATGGGAGAGGCAGACAGAGCTGGCCACCATGCACAGCTCCTACAATCTCCTGGCACTTCTGCCGCCACTGCTGCTACTGCTGGTGGCCGCCACAGGCCCTGCTGGGGCCCTCACAGATGATGAGAAGCACGTGATGGTGGAGCTGCACAACCGCTACCGTGCCCAGGCATCCCCATCGGCGGCCAACATGCTGCAAATGGTGAGTGTGTCCAGGGCCACTCACCTGCCGGGCTAGAAGGGGTGTTGGGCAGCGTCCTCCACACATCCCTCCCATCCCCCAAGCTGCAGCTATCTCAGAGCCTCACCTCTCTGGGCAGGTCATAGGTCACCATAAGCAGCCCTCTCATGCAGAGGAGGAAACTGACTCGGAGAGGAACTTACTGCTCCTTCAGGGACTTGCAGTTCACACGACTGGCACAGCCAGGCCTGGGCGCTCCGACTTCTCACTCCAGTGACCCTTTCCCGGCACCTGAAATGCACATGCCCCTGGGAGGGCGGACACAGACAATCTTAAGACCTTGGCAAACCAGGTCTTTCAGGTGCCTTCCAAGGAAATGAGAGGAGGAAGCAGACAGAAGGCTGGGGCCTGCACCTGGGGTAGATGCGGGGCACTTAGGAGTGAGGTGAGCTCAGGAGCCACAGTGCAGCTCCGCATCACAGGTTCTCATTTGTCTTGTCTGCCTGCAGACCTGCGGCTGGGGCGAATCCCTTAACCTAGCAAGGCTCCTCAGTGTACAGCTGTAAGATGGGGCCGTAATGATAACTACAGATATATCAACATGGACTGAATCTCATAGATAGGCTCAATGGGGAGAAATAAAATCTGAAAAAGCATATATACTGTTGGGGATATTCACAAGAAGCTTTAAAACATGTCAAAAATCTGAATGTGTACCGGTTGGGGGACATGTTGATGGACCGAACATACACGGACATGCCTGCAGGTGACAGAAGCCAGCTTTGGGCAGCAGTTACCCTTCAGAGGCGTGCCCGGGAGGTTGATGGCAGTGTCCAGGCCCCCTGCTGCTGGTGCGCTCATCACTGAGTTTGGGGTCTAAGAAAGGAGTTCTAACAGCTTTGTCCAACCTGGCAAAAGGATTGGGGCGGGGGGTGGGGAAGAAGCCCTTTACCTTCAAAGGCTTCCACTTTCTGATCTATCTCAGGCAGCTGGCACTCCCTCCCTTGACAGAATGGCCCAGAACAAAGATCTAGAAAGGGCTCTACAAATACGCACAATACCACCACTTGAGCCACAATAGCCTTGGCAACCAAGAGCTGCAATAATATACCAGGAGCCCTGGATCCTGGTAACAGCTCTGCCAACAGCTCACAGATCAGGGCCTACAACTTATCGTCGACTCAGTTTCCCCATCTCCCAATCCTTGGTGCCACAATCTTGCTGCCTGAGTCTGGGGGCTACCCAGGTTGGAAGCTGCTTTGCGGATGGAGGTAGAACTTGAGGCTGGGTTAACGTTCACAGAAGCATTTTGAATTATTGAGGGGCTATGCTGCTGGCTGGTGAGAAGACATAAAGGAGATGGTGGAAAAGGGTGGTCTAGGATACCAGTCTAAATTTGGAGCAAGGTCAGGTTCAGCTTCCGAAGTGGTAAATGCAGACTCTGGAGTCATATGGTCTGAGTTCAAATTTCCACTTGCCCATGTATTAGCTGTGTGATCTCAGTGAAGATGCTCAACCTCTCTGTGCCTCAGCTTCCTCATCAGTAAATTGGGGTTAATAACACTCCCTTTTAGGGCCGTTGTAGCATTGCATGCATAGACAGGTGTAAAGCACTTAGAATAGTGTCTGGCACACAGTGAGTGCTTGATAAATGATTGACTAACAAGAGAATGGCAGGTGGGGGTCATCATGGATTCTTCTCACCATCAGCCTCCACATCTAATCACCACTTTACTACACTGAACTTCAATTTTTCTTGACTCCCACTCCCCCCGGCCCCTTTGGCACAACCCTGATTCAGTCTTTCATTTCTTCTTCCAGGGACTCCTGGAACATCCTCTGCCTGCTTCCCCTGCCTCTGCCTTCTGCTCCAGAATGGATAGCTCAACACACAGGCGTAACCCCTTCGAAACCTTCAGCTGCTCCCAATATTGCTCCCTCCTGGAGACCAAGCTCCAGCTATAAACGCTCTGTCTGTGTGTCTAGCCCCGACCTACCCCTCCAGTCCTTCTCTCTTGCTCATTTTTTTCCCTCAGGACCCTGCCCAGCTCATCCCCACTCCTCCAGTCAGAGTCTTGATTCTCATCCCCAGGCCTTTGCTCATGCTGTGCCCTCTCCTCAGGATGCCTTTCCTCACTCCACCTACCCAGTGTCTTCTCTTTCAATATTTAGCTCAGTGCTGACTCCACTCACAGTTTGGGCAAAATGACCCCCTTTAGTGCCTCTGTACCGCTGCATATCATTCACCACACAGTGAGCCAGTGAATGATTTATGACCAGGCCGGTCCTTGCTGTCACCGTAGGGCTTGTTTGGTCCCCAGAACTGTTGACTAAATGAATGAGTGAATAAATGAATGACTGGACTTGCTTTCAGATGGTGACCATGTGATCCATGTGGGTGGGTACTGTGACTCTTGAAATTCTGCAAGGGTCTCGGGACCACTGAGACACCCTAAGAGCCAAAGCAATGACTTGTGGGACTCCAAGCAGCTGGAGAAACTGGAAATAACATCCGGGAGCTGTAGGGGAGACTGCTCTAAGCAGGTCCGTGTCTCACCAACAGTTAAGCAAATGTCTGGTTAGCACCTGCCATGTGTAAAGGGTTAGCACCTGCCATGTGTAAAATAACAGCCTGTGCCAGACACAGGGGCTACATCACTGCCCTGCCCTGAGGAAGCATGCGGTTTAGTGTGGACCCAGTGCACTCTCACTTCCTGTCTTCAAGACAGGGGTTTCAACTGTCTCAAACTCACTTCCAGTGTTTGAGAGAACCACAGGACCAGTGATTTGGGGCAAAAATGTCCAGAGAAGGAAGGGGTTCATCCAAAGTCACAGCGGTGGGGCTATCCCAGTACAGTGTCCCTGTCCCACTCCAGACAGCTGTTCCTGAGAATCTTGTGTAGGTGGGGAGTGGTTGTGGCCACGGGGTCACCCAAGCTCTTGGCACTTTATGGGACTGTCTGGCTCCTGCAGCTGGCTGGGCCCCCAGAGGGTGGAGCAAGAGTTGCCGCCAGACTATCCATTTCCAAGAGGGGCCAAGGACAAAGTTAATGGGATCCAGGCCTCCCTCTTCAGTCCTTTGGTCAGATGCCCTGTTAATACCTCTTCCCACCCACACTGCATCTGCCTCCCAGCCAGGGACACAGAATCTCAGGGGCCCACAGAGAGTGCTTTCTCCTGTGGTCTCTGTCACCTGAGGTGTTCACTAGAGAACACTGCCTTGAGATCTGACAGCATTTTGGGCCACCAAGGTCTTGAAAATAGACCGTTCAGTAAGGGTCAGAGACACCAATTTTCTGGGGGAAACCAGTTGTTAGCAAAAGCTGAGAATACTTGGGAAGGGAGGGGGCTGGGCTATCCCAAGGAGAGGGGGGAGCTGAAAGGGGAGTGCTGGCCCCAATTCAAATTTATGGTGGTGGGGGAAGGGGAGGGGAGTGGCTGAATAACCAGCCCTTGAACATCTCACTGGACATCTTGTCTTCAGAGTTCAGAGAGGGGATAGGAATATGAACCAAGAATCACACCGTCACAAACACTGTCTCCTTCATCCTTTCTTCCCAAGGCCTGTGAGAGGTCAGAAAGGTTAGGCAAGCTGTCCAACTCACGCAGGTGAACTGTTCAAGTTCAGCTATGTCCATGGCCTGGGAAGGCGCCTTCCCACCTTCTTACAGAAGTTCACCAGAAGCAGAGACCTGCTCCAGATCATGGCAGAGTTCCCCCTCAGGGAGGGGTGGGTTTGCATCCTGGGACTCCCCCAGGATGCCCTCGACCTTCTTTGGGCCTCCTCACCTCCTTCTCCCAAGCTGCTCTCCCTCCTCCTCTGCGGACTCTGAACAGCCTCACCTCTCACCCCAACCTGTTCTGCAGAGGTGGGATGAGTCCCTGGCTGCCTTCGCTAAGGCCTATGCGGAGCAGTGCGTGTGGGGCCACAACAAGGAGCGTGGACGGCGAGGTGAGAACCTGTTTGCCATCACTGACAAGGGTGTGGATGTGCCTTTGGCCGTGGAAGAATGGCACCAGGAGCGCCAACACTACAACCTCAGCGCAGCCACCTGCGAACCTGGCCAGATGTGTGGCCACTACACACAGGTGAGAAGCCAAGGTGCCTGGGGGGCGGGACCACGGGGGGGGGGTGCCTGGGGGGCAGGACCACGGGGGGGGGGTAATGGGGGAGGGGCGGGGGGCACGGGACAATGGGAGGGGCCGTGGGCAAGGAGTGAGGCTCCCTCTCCCTTCCCCTCTCTGGCATACCCTAAGGAATCCCCTACGGTCCATTCAGAAAAGTTGTCTTACACAGCAATTAATGTGTTGTCCAGGTCTCTGACAAGCTTTGCTTCTCAAATTGCCAAAAAACCATTTTCAGTTGACTCATGAAACCACAAAAAATCTAGGCGGCTCCTTTGGGCCTTCTGGTACTGAAGAGACCTAAGTTAGGTGTCTCAGAGCCAGTTTCCTGTGCGGAAGTCACAGCACTTGGGATCCTGGCTAAGCTCTAAGCAGTCCTATCCTAAACTATGTGGGGGCCGCTGCCCCACCCCACCCCAACTCATTTTCTCTCTCCCTTTTTTGTCATTTCTCATGGTATCTAAATGGCTGCTTCTAACCTGCCCAGGACCAGTAGATGGACAATTTATTTGCTTACTTTTTCTTTGCCTTTAAAAATCTACGTAAAATAACTGCAAATTGTGACAGTGAATGTGTCTGGGGGGGGGCTGTCCACTAACATTTCTGTCTCTCAGTCACTACTGAGTTTGCTTTAAGAGATGGTGGGTGAAGGCCAGTAGAGTTATGAGTAGTGTCATTGCATTCTTTTTTTCCTCCTCCCAATGCCTTGTTGGTGTTCAAACAACAACATGACAGTTTTTAGAAAAAGGAAAATTAACCAACCATCCTCCCACCAATTCATCGACTCTTTCAGGTGTATTTTTAGACCTAATCTTTAGGGAAGGAAATGCCAACATCACCCACCCATATCAGGAAATCAGAGAGCCCAGCACCCTCTGCACCCTGCCAGCTCTCACACGCCTCCCGACACATCCCACTGCAGGGAATCCTGTCACTGCCAGGCAGGACTGGTTGGCTCCATCTCCACACCAGCTGAGTGCACTTGTTCTTAGGGTTCATTTCTGTCAAAGAGATGATCAACAGTAGTACCTGGGGAGACCCACAATTGATTTAGGCAGAAAGATCCCAGTCCTGGTTGTGTGAGCACATGTATGTGTAAGCATGAGCTTGAACAGTATTAATGGCAAAATTAAATTTCACAGCAAAAAAAAAAAAACAGACTGGGCCTACATCTAGCAAGGGAAGACTGCTAGTCTCAGCCCATTATGTTGCACAAAGTTTGCTCTAACTTTTTACATGTTATATTTGACAGATCTTCCAGTAACTGAGACCTACCTTTACAAATTGCAGAACAGTGATTTGAGGGAAAATTTCACTTCCAAAGTGGCTCCTCCTGCCCTTTCCTTGGATTTTGTTATTGACGACTAAGATTTGCCCCTCAAAGATTCATTCCTTTGGCTATTCCCCCTATTTAAAATGCAAAGGCTTCAAAAAAGAAAGAATTCATAAGGGTATATCAAAAAGAAGGCTTTCAGAGGGGGAGGGACTGGTGAAACAGCGTGTATCGTTAGCAGGGAATGTAGACTGTTGAAGGCAAATGTCTTGTCTCACCCCACCTTCAACCCCCTTTACAGAGTTTTGACCTGGAGCTGCCTGTCCTCAAAGACTTAGCTGTTACCGGCTATAGGGTTCCTCCTCTTCCCATTCATAGAAGGCTGGTGTGGAGCGGCACTAAAGAGGATCAGAATCGTCACACCCAGGCTTAACTGTTGAGTTTGCCCTCCTTCAGGTGGTCTGGGCTAAGACGGAGAGGATTGGCTGTGGCTCCCACTTCTGTGAAACGCTCCAGGGCGTTGAAGAAACCAATATCCACTTGCTGGTTTGCAATTACGAGCCCCCGTGAGTGTGGAGGGAGCATGGGGAGGGCGGGCAGAGCCATGAGTTGGGCACAGTCTGAGGGACCTGAAGGGGTCCAACCGAGGGCTGATACCCTCTAGCTTACGGGAGCTGTAAGAGCACCTGTGGGAATTTGCTCTCATTGGCCCAACGAGGTGTTGGCGGTGAGTCAGTCGGGACACTTCTGGACATTTATGTATCCTCGCCTCCTGCAGAGGGAACGTGAAGGGGCAGAGGCCCTACCTGGAGGGAACTCCGTGCTCCCAATGTCCCTCCGGTTACCGCTGCGAGAACTCACTCTGTGGTGAGCTGGGGATGGGGAGCGAGGAGGAAGGGAAAGGAAGGGACGCCGGCTGGAAGGGCCCCATTCTCCCGTGGTCCTGGCAGGAGGGGACTGCGCGCACGCGATCTCCTGGGCATCGGCGGTCCCACCCCTCCTCTTGGCCCTCCTAACGCAGCCACTTTGGCGCACCGTCACCGCAAGTGACGGGTTTCAACCCTCCAAGGGGGTAGAGTCCTGCAGCCCGGAAGCACCGGGCATTGAGGACGTGGCCAGACGGGCGGTGCCTTCGGGTGGGCGGGGCGATCGGTGGGCGTGGGCGGGGCATGAGTGGGCGTGGTCTGTGACGCAATGGGCGCGTTAGATGTCCCTTGAAAAAGTAAGTGCGAGTGCAGGGAGAGGACTTGGACGAGGAGTGGATGGAGTAACTGTGTGTCCGTGAGAGACCCATTCACTGGAGAGGGCGAGTGTATATGTGTTTGTGTGTCTTAGTGGGACACTAGGGGGCCTCCCTGATTGCAGTGCGGTGAGGGATGAGGTGTCCCGCCTGCAGCACTGATGCCAGGCCTTGCTTTTCTTCTCAGAACCCATCAAAGGTACAGAAGAGACTCAGAATTTGCCCTACCTGGTAAATGAGGTCCTACCGTCCCTGGCAACTGAGGCCTCCACCTCTAGGAAACCTGGTATCCCTTCTTCCCTAGCAACAGAAACGCCATCCTTGGTGACAGAGGTTTCAGATTCCCTGGCAACCAAGACTCTACCTGCCATAGAAACTAAGGCCCCAATTTCCATAGCAACAGAAGATCTCCCCTCCATGGCAACAGAGGCACCACCTTCCTTAACAACTGAGGTCCCTTCCTTTTTGGCAACGCACAGCCTGCTCTCCTCGGATGAGGGGCCAGCTACCCTCCCCAGATCAACCCATGATCCTGTTCCTGAATCGACAGACAAAGAGGCCAGGGGGACAAAAACACCCTCCAAAAGCACAGAGAGTTCTTTGCTCCCCAAGACGTCCTTGATTGGGACACAGGAGCCACTTCCCCACTCCCAGGAGGCATTGGAGGCTGAGTTGCCTTCTTCCAGTGAGGTCATGGCCTCAGATTTTGCAGCCCAGGGCAAGCCAGGTGAGATGCAAGCCACTCAGGACCACATGGAACAGACCTCCTCTCAGTCCCTGTCCAACTCCCTTAATACCTCTGCCATCACTAATGCCAAGGGTGGGCATACCCTGGCCCTGCAGTCATCTTTGCCAGGTAAGGCCTGTAGTGTCTATCCTACCTCCCCTCCTGGCTCCCAAACGTGAGCCCCTGCCCCTAGCATAGATGGCATGTCCATGGCAGGGCATGCTCCCTCTGAGAAAGAGCTCCCCGACCTGCATGCCTGGTAACAGTGGGTGGCAAAACTGCCTCCAGGCTGAGGCAAAATGTTTCTTTCTCCAACAGGTGCAGAGGGCCCTGAAAGGCCTGCTCTCAAGTCAGGGCTGAACTCGGGACCTGGTCACATCTGGGGCCTCCTCCTGGGTCTGCTGCTATTGCCCCTGTTGGTGTTGGGTGGAATTTTCTGAAGGGGTCACCATTCAAAGGCAAGGCCTAGTGGGGTGACATGCCTGCTCCAAATTGTCTTTTTTCAAGTAAGAGGCCAAGTTTCCCGGGAAGCTCCTCCTCTGTGACCCAACAACTCACGTTCACCTGTTTCTGGCCAGACTCAAGATCAGTGGCCTTGTGCCCTCAGCAGGTCTTTATAGGACCAAACTGTGGCACTGTCCCAGGAGTGCTTCTGCCTCTGAGGAGGTTCATCTCTCAGCTAGCTGCAGATTATTCTGAGCAGTATGCTTGTGGTCATGTGTGCCCTTTTCCCAGTTAACCTACAGCAATGACCCTGCCTGGCCAAAGACAGAGGAACTCAGGGCTTTTCAGGAAACCCTCCCTGTCCCCTGGCCTCTTCCTGAGGCAGCTGAATCCTGGGCTGTTCTAGGAGTGCCTCCTGCCTTCCCTGGGTGAAGAGGTCAGCTGCTGTCCTGCCATCGCCTTTACCCTGTCCCCAGCTCTTCAGACAAGATACTTCTTGGCTGAGGGCCCTTTGGGAGGGAATAGCAGCAGGCATGTGCCTCACAGACATCTCAGTGCACTAGCCTTGGCTGCTGCAAGCTCTGGTTGTTGCCCAATGACTGCATGCCTGGCCCAGGCCCCGCCCATCTCTGTGCTGTGGGGGGAGGGGGGATACTCGGGGATGCTGGGGACACCCATGTCTGCCTGGCCTGGGGCTATCTGCCTGCCAGGCAGAGGGCTCTCCCCTGGGAAGGGAATTAGTGAGGGGTCAAAGGACAAGCCTCACCTGAGTGGGGTTCTAAAGAGAAGGCCCATAGGAGCCAGGGGTGGGAAGCAACTCCTGACTCCTGAATAAATGCCTCTGTAAGAGTATCCAGAGTCTCCATGCTTGCAAGGGGGGGCAAAGGACTGCTGTTAGACAGGCTCTTAGGAGGCACAACTCTTCCCCTACCAACTTGCAGCAATTTTCCTTCTTCAATAACCCATATCCCCCAAACACCCATTTGGTTCTTTGGGACATCCTTCCTTTCTTTCCATAAGTGCCCTGCACTCAAATCTTTTAGCAGCGGGTGGCGGGAATGGGAGGAAGCCAAGGATACTGGGCTGATTCTCCCAGCTTGTCTCCAGTGGGACTGAATAGAGCTTGGGGCCTCGATCAAAGAGTGGGACAGCAGGAGTCCTATTGCCTGGGTTCATCTGGGATACAAGGTTACAAATATACCTTAGGCATAGTGTCCCCATTCTGTGGTTGGTCCATGGAGGAGTCCTGAGAAAGGAGGCCCAGACACTTCCCACTCCCCCAGGGGAGCAGAGCATTATCCACAAGTGCTGTGGAGCATGAAAGCACAAGTATGTGTATAGAGTTAGCAACAGGTGACTGGAGGGCAGCTACTGCCTCCAGGCCAAGGCCAAGAAGTGCTCTCTCCCCCCGTCATGCCTGTATTCTCTATCTATTGATCATATAACACACAATGCATCTATTTACAGTACATCACTCAGTGGTTCTTAGTATAGTCACAGGCTTGTGCAAACATCACCACCGTCAATTTTAGAACATTTTCATCATTTGTTGTGGCAGGAACTTTGTTGCTGCTTTGCAGCAGTAACACAATGAAGGACACAGCCATTGTGGAGCTGGTTTGCAAGGCCAGACTCTGCTACTTGAGCAAAAGTTCTTGTGCCATTTACTGAAAGCCTGTAGGCTAGTAAAAGCCGATCATGCAACAATGGTATGAGGAAGAGGGGTGAGAAGGTGGGACAGGGAAGGGGACATCATAGCCATGGGTCAAGGGACATCTGCATCAGCAAAGTATTTGATGTTACCACAGGCAGAGTTATCCTGAGACCACCAAGGAGAGAGTAAAGTAACCAGGTCAACAGCGGCTAGGCGCCCCCGGGCCTGCCTCGAGATTCAAGCTGTACTCTGTAATCAAGGAAGGTTCTGCTGTGATTTGTAGACAGCAAATAGGTCACAGTTACCCATGAGCAGCCAGCTAGTAACCATCTCATAGAGACCCACAGTCACTAAAAAGAAATCAAAGTTCAAGTCTTCCAACTTTGGTATTTTCAAGATTTGTTTAGGCTATTCTCAGTTCCTTAAATGTGAATTTTAAGATCATCTTATCAAATTTCTACAAAGAAGCTTTCCAAAATGTTGATAAGCACTGTCATTTTAACAAAGTTAAGCCTTCCATCTGGGTTGTTTTGCCATTTATTTAGGTCTTATTTATTTCAATAGGAAAAAGATTTTGAAGTATAAGTTTTGCAATTAAATTTCTTCATATTTTATTTATGCTATTTTAAGTGAAATTGTATTAATTCCATTGTTCTATTCCAAGTATATAAAAGTACAGTGTTTATATAGTTTTTATATCCTGCAGCCTTGCTGAATTGACTTGTTGTAATAGTATTTTTAGTGGATTCCTTAGGATTTGTATATACATGATCATGTCACCTGTTTTCTGCTTCTTCCTTTCTAATCCAGAAGAAAATTAGATTTCAGTTTCTTACCTAATTGCCATGGCTAGACCCTCACCACAATGCTGAGTAGTAGCAAGAGCAGACATCTTTGCTCTTGTTCATGACCTTAGGAGGAAACATTACTTCTCTCACCATTAACTATAACATAACTGTGGGCTTGTCCGATGCACTTTCAGGTTGAGGGTTGCTTCTGAGTTTGTTAAATGTTTTGTCATGAAAGAATCCTGGATTGTCAAATATTTTTGCTGTTTCCTGAGGGCATTGCATGGTTTTGTTCCTTATTCTGTGGGTTACATTGTATTGATTTCCAGACGCTGACCCAACATAGGCAGGGGTTGGGGTCCCTCCTTCCCTCTGCTCAAGCTGGGTCCTCTGAGGTAGTCAGGTGCCATAGCTTCTGGGCAGAGGAGGAGGCGGTGGGGTGTGTGTGCCCAAACCTATCTTTCCAAGTTTCTGGGTAGGCTGTGTCTGCTTCTGCAAAGCAAGAGCACATATAGCCAGTTCTCCAGAAACCTGTCACCTGAGGGAACCTATCCAAGTTCAGGAGCAAAGACTTTCTTGGATTTTATTTTTGGGAAAACACGAAGGCAGGACATGGAGCCCCACACCAGTCAGGTTGAGCTGTGACAAAAGGGTAGGGAGGGGATGTGTCAGCAGAAGCCCCAGAGGTGAGAGGGCACGTTCAGAGGGTGTGGGCTGGCCCCCTCAGCACCTCAGGCCGGAGGGAAGGGGTCTGCTCTAGCACTACGCTGCGTGGCTCCCAGTGTGCTTACAGGATGTCTGCTCATGCAGTGCTTCGGATGGGCCATTGCTACCCCAGCTGCTGCAACCATCACACCAACCCACTCCCAGTAAAACCTGACAATGTCACCTATAAAAGGTGCCAAGATGATGGGTGATGGGTGTGGTGGAATAATCTCTGAAGCTGCTTTAAAGGGACTGTTCCTCCATGAATATTGCTCTCTGACCTGGCCACTTGTCCTCATTTGATTAAGAAAACTGTCCACGTCCTCACTGAACTCTGCATGGCCTGTCTCCGAGCAGCCAGCCACTCAGTTTCCCGCCCGCTTTTCACACCAACACAAAAGTCCTAACAGGACTCTCAAGATATTTAAAAGAGGCAACTCCCCCACAAGATTCCAAATCACCACCAGTACATTTATTTGAGGGAGAAAGGGTCAGATCATATGGGGAACTTTTCGACTGTGGAGGTCTAAAGATACAGATCCGCCTACTCTGGGCGTTCACAGCTGTGCATGTAACCGGATCCTGCACGCGAGGCGCCACCATGAAACCGACGAGCACTTGACGAAGGGACACATTCTCAGTGGTCATGTGATTTCCCAGTCAGAGGAAGGTGCTGCCTTCACATCAGAAAAGTAGTGTTGAGAAAAACGAAGGCAGGACCTAGCAACAGGCTCCCAGCACAGGCCTGGACGTGGTGGAGGCCCCGCGCAGAGGGTCATGCCCTATGTACAAAGCGGGAGAGCCGTGCTCCCAGCTGAGGTGCAGGGTGAGAGCTGGGGCAGACTCTCAGGGTGGGAGTGGGGGTGGGACCTGGCCCCGAGTCTTTTCCCATCCAGCCTGGGCTTTCCCAGACCACTCTCTGGCCCCCTGTACAAGGCGGCCTCGGCAAACGGGAGGAGGTCTGCCCGATTCCTCTGCCCCGCCCCACTGTCTCAGATCTACAGGTGGCCCGGGCTGCTGGGCACAGTCCCATCCCCACTCAACCCCTGCATCTGGACAGACACATGGCAAGTATGGAAACTGAAGCCCACAGGGCACAGCTAGATGTTGCTGGGTTGGAGTCATCTTGCAGGTGCCCCAAGATGATCAGGCCTCACCCACAGTGGCCAGGCTGAGACGGCATGTGTTTTTAGGTGATTCGGGTTACTCCAGGGCAAAGCGTGATCCTGATGACACCCGGCGGAAAAGCAGGCTGGAGCCACGAAAGAGCTGGCCCTGAATCAGAAGCAACAGCTGGGTCAGTGAAAGGGGAGGCCAGGTTCTTGACTGCCCAGAAGGCCAGCCTAAAGCAAAGCAGGCTCGAGGAGCTCCGAGGCCCCAGGGCTGGAGGGGCTTCGAGGCTGACATTCTTATAAGGCCAGGTCAGAACCTGCACAGGGCTTGAAGTCCAAGGGAATGGCCCCTTCCTGCCACAGGGTATCCACTGGTGAAAGGAGGAAGACCCCTCTGCCACCCCCAGGAGAGAGTCATCACCCTTCTGGCTTTAGGTGCCAAGTGGTCTGAGACTCCTTCAATACCCACAGGAGTGATACATAAAGAACGGCTCGAGTCACTGGGAAGAACCTAGTTAGTCCCTGGTCTCTGCTTCCCTCTCACTGTCCTCAACCCAGAGGCCAGATACTGCCTTATTTCACCGGCAAACTAAGGTCTAGAAAAACAGCAATCTGCCCTGGGCGAGATGTGGGTCCCTGACCTCTGGGTGCAAGAGCAACAGCCAGTAGGAGGGTGTTTTGGCACAGAACCCTCAGTGGGCACCTGAGAGGCCCAAGGTGACCTTCAGGCCCTTATGGGCACTGGGGCAGGAGGGAAGCTCGGCCTGTGATACTGATCCGAGCCCTGTGTGCTCAGCTCATGTTACGGGGTAAAGTCCTCTTGAGCCAGAACCCCCTCCTATTTGTTGAGGAGGCTTTAAGATTCTTGTACAGTTTTTAAGTAAATCCAGATTTAACTAGCTCAAGTCATTTTTAAAGTAAAATCTGGAGACCAAGAGTCTCCATTTTAACTTCCCTATTCCCATTAGATTCCATGACAGCGCCCCATCTTCCTATGTGATGGTGAGTCCTCAGAACCATCCCATCTGATCAGCGTGACACAGGCAAAACCTCCTCCCTCAAGAGCATACTTACCTGCACACTCAGGTACTTCCAGCAGTGGATCCAGGATTTGAACACTGGGGAGTAAGGAGGGAGCCCAGCCTGCAGCCTGCCCAGGAGGGGAGAGCACGTTAGACCCAGAACAGCAGGGGATAGATAATCAAGGGAAAGGATACCCCCAAAAAGGGATGCCTGGGGGCTACCACTACCCATCTCTTCAACCACATATACTTCCCAGCTGAAACCAAGCAACCTGGTGGGCCAAGCCTCCACACAGACTGGAGAGAGTGGACAGAGTACTGGGTGGGCTCAGCTGGGCCTCCCATCAGCCTGGGCAGGGTGCCGAGGAAGAGGTGGACACCTACCCACAGTTGTTCACAGCCATGAGATCACCGACCAGCAGGAAGGGATAGGTCAGCATGCTCACTGCAATCTGAAACCCAAGGAGACCTTGTGTCAGGATTCCATCTACTACCAACCAGCCCCCCACCTGGGCTCCAGGAGCAGGACACATGGTGTCAGCATCCCATGTCAAGGCCTGCCTCCTGCCAC